GAAGAAGGACGAGATCAGAACACAGAATTACTTCTCTCCATGTGATTGGAACTACTGTTGAATTAAAATCTAATTCCCCATGATGGAGAAGTGACTACTCACGGTTGCTCTCATCCATGCGATCACAGCTGCTGCTTCGTCGTGGAGCGAGGGCAGCAACAGTTGTGGGAGGTGGAGGAGGCAGAGGAGCAGGAGGCATCCTAATGCGATGGCGTTGAAGCTCGTGCTCCACGGCCTCGTTGATGTCCGAGGAGGTACGAATGGTCTCAAGACGCGTGTACATCTCCTTGAAGCTCGGTCTGTCCTCCGAGTTCCAACTCCAACCTATTTAAAGAGACGGGGAAGATAAAAAATATGAAGAAACAATGTCGAATAAATTTTGGCAAGGTTTAGCACCTGAAAGTTGAACTATTTGACCAGAGTAGGTACCTGTTGAAATAATTTTAAGATGTAGTAAAGGAACGGTTGGAAGGATAGTTGCGACCGAGCTATGGCATGAACTCGTTAGATTCCTCAATGAAGTGACAATTTTCATATTTGTACAGCACGGAGGTGAGTGAATTTGCACAAATGTACACATGCCGTACTGTGAAGTCACTGAGGTGGCCGGTGAAATAGTTTTGCCCATAGGGTGTGAATCACTGTCGCATCTCCTAGCACCGCCTATGACAAGCGAAATTTATGAATAATACGAAGGAAGAAATGCAAACAAAGGAACGGAAGGTTAGAATTGAATTTTGCACTGATCTGAGTCGTGGGATTTAAGAAGCGTCCCTCATTCAAAGTCTCTATCATATTATTATGTGGGCAGGAAAAAATTCGGTTTGAGAAAAACTGTAACAGTGCGTAAAAATCAATGGATGACAGAACAGGAAGTCCGCCATCACGTTAATTCATCCATCACTTGTTATGATAGACTGGCAAGATAAGTGATAGAGGTCAGCAACCGATTCGAACTTATTCACAGAAATACCGAAGAACAGGCAACTTCATAGTTCGAACCGCAGTTTCAAAATAGGAGTAAATTCATTTACTGCTTACATTATTCCAGAGAAGATAAATAACAGGACGTTTTAACAGTAAAAGATGAACTCCTAACGAGTTACAACAATGTCGATCCAAAAAGGTGGAAAAATGTCATCTCACTGACTTACAATCGAGCATGAGTTGGTAGACAGCATCTGGGCAGCCCTGAGGTGCTTCCATGCGTGTGCCCTTTTCGAGGAGAACATAGACATCCTGCAACTCTACGCCGGGATATGGCGCAGCCCCGTAGGTTGCAATCTCCCAAAGGAGCACGCCAAACGCCCAGACATCAGATTTGATGGAGAAGCAATTGTAGACAAGACCCTCAGGTGCAGTCCATTTGATGGGAAACTTGGCTCCCTCCCGCGCCCGATACGTCACATCACGTTCCATGTAGCGAGCCAGCCCAAAATCTGCAACCTTCACAGTCATCGCCTCACCCACCAGGCAGTTCCGTGCCGCTAAGTCCCTGTAGCGAAAGAACAACGACTAAAGTAAAACTATGTCTCAATAACATGCTCGATTCCTTCTTACACCTATAATGGTGCTGCAATCGTTTGTTTCAGCTGTGCATTGAATTAAACGTGGCTCGCAATATTCGCCGATTTATGTTAATATTAATGGAATGCCATTCAAAAACACCAATTTTCGAAACAATTGTGATAGTCTAGTAGATAGAGAGCAGTTTGCGGAAACGCTAGTAGGGGTTGACTGTCAATATCAAAAAGAAAAGGCAAGCAAACTTCACAGACTTCCACAAATCGTTTTGCACGACGGAGCTGTAAGACTGCGCTCACACGATACAGACCAGCACCTCCCCAGTTTGTGTGGATATTGAGAACACAGTGGTGGATTTGACAATTATATGGTAGGAAAATGAAGGTCTCTAGTTCGCTGGCTAAACGACGCAAAATTGGATGGCCTTATTTGGCGAATATCACTGCACAATGGATAGCAAGGAGGTTAATCCAGAAGTGGTTAGTTAGCAAGCAAACGTAATTGTAGTGGGCGGAATTAGAACCCAACGCTGAAATCCATTCAATTTTGTAGGAATTTCAGCTTCTATTGCTTAAAATGAATAGGTAGCTGGATGACAGATCTAAGCTCAACAATAATTGACATCTAAAAAGCATTTATGTGGCAATTCCAAATGCTTCTCAGCAATAATTACTTTGGGATTTCGGTAAACGTTAAGATGTAACTTAAAAAGAGGACTAATACATGAAAAGTAAACCAAGGCCTTTTGGAAAACCATTAACCCTAGGATGTTCTATGTCAGAAGTTTAACAGAGAAAAAGTTTGGGAAAAATTGTATAAGGCTGAATTGGAGATAACCCCGAAGATATAAAATGAATGTTTAAAGTTAATGCTGTATTGGAGGTACGGGAAACTCAATGTCAACATGGGCAGACAGGCACTGAACACGTGGCTCCATCTTGCTAAATGAATGAAGTCACCCTCAAACCCTTAATTCGCAAAGACATGAGCGTCGAATATAAAGAATACAACTTTTATCCAGGATAAGTAACATAGTGTGGAGAGTGTCACCCTCGCAAATTTCCTCCCGTCAAGGCTGGTCTGTCGACAACGAAAAGGAGACAATAGTGGCAGAAATGCTACACTTTCGAAGGTAAGCAAACCGGCTGGTAGGTGAGCTATTACATACATTTTGGAAAAAAACACCATCTGCTTCCCCACAGTTGGAATCCCAATGAATAATAACAAAATTCATGCTCATAAATTCCACCAGAAGAGATATCCCAGTTGGTATACTATCTTGACACATTTAAACTGTCGTCATTCATTCTGTAAATTGGCAAGTAAGTTAGAGCTAAAGGTGATTCATAAGGCAACACTGGAAAGAGAAAAGGTAGAATAGCTTAAGTAGGTTTATCTTCCGGAAATCGCGTTTCGCTCATTAAGAACCCGATTCTACTGTAGTTCATAATGTGAAGGAAGAAAGGGTAGAGATTGTCACTTGCATCAAAAGGCCTTTTTGAAAGGAACAAAATTTCCACTGCAGTATAAGGCGATTGGCACCATTAAATCAACGCAATTTATTTTGACTAGAATTGTTATTCGAGTTTGGTGTTTACGAC